CTTCCATGTTTGGGAGGATCTCCTTCCATGTTCAGGAGGATCTCTTTCCATCTTCTGGAGGATCTCCTTCTATGTTCGGGAGGATCTCCTTCTATGTTCGGGAGGATCTCCTTCTATGTTCAGGAGGATCTCTTTCCATGTTCTGGATGATCTCCTTCTATGTTTGGGAGGATCTCTTTCCATGCTCGGAAGGATCTCTTTCCATGTTCGGGGATCTCCTTCCATGTTCGGGGGATCTCCTTCCATGTTTGGGAGGATCTCCTTCCATGTTCAGGAGGATCTCTTTCCATGTTCGGAAGGATCTCTTTCCATGTTCGGGAGGATCTCCTTCCATGTACGGGAGGAGCTCCTTCTGGGTTCAGTGGAGCTCAGGTTTGTCCCCACACAGCTACCTCCTCATGTATCACTTCCCCTGCCCTTTAGATTGTAAGCTCTCAGGGGCAGGGACCTCCTTACCATCTTGTCTTGAATTGTATTGTGATTGTAATGTCTTCCTTATAGTGTACAGCGCTGCGCAAACTGTTGGTGCTATATAAATCCTGTATAATAATAATATTCCCTAATGGTCAACCCGAACCCAAAGCTCATCTCTAATAGTCAGTTTGTAGGTTGGGGTGGTCAATGGTGCCATTAAATTTCATATTTTGGTGCTTTGTTGGTGCCTGTTTATTTTTTTGTGGATGTATATCTATAAAACACAAACATGTCTGCAGTTCTCCTTCCAGCAGGCATCTCCGTACGTCTCATTAGTAGATCTTGGCTCCTCTCTGTTTTCGGCCTTCCCCCAACCTGCCAGGTTATCCTGTCACACTTCATCCTGCACGCTCATTGCCATCCCTCCTGGTCTGACCTATTTCTCTCAGAGCCACCTGCCCGCGGACTGGAATGACTGGCAATTTTTTATTGCTGCAAATAAGCAAAATATTACCTTGAGTAAGTCTCTGGAATAAGTATAGGTGCGGCGCCCGCGGTCTGCCTTTCAGGACGAGCGCCCTTCTCTTCTGGTTCACTGGCGTGTCTGCCAGGGAGATCTCAGCGGATCAGAGCGGGAGCCGTTGTGCTTACATGTCAGGCACGGATCCCCTCTAAATAAGCTAATACAATCAGGGCGGAACGCTGTCATGCGGGCTCAAAGCGCCCCTTCAAGAGGTATATCGTCGGGCTTAGATATAAAGGGTGAGTCCGGTCCTGATCGGGCTCATACCCAATGAATCTGGCTAGTCAACCTTAAATTATTATGGGCCTGGATTCAAATGTCGGTGTCTTCAGTTGCCTTCCTGAGTGTTTGTATTTGCAATTTTTGTGCATTTTTCAGGCGTTTTCCAGGTGATCCCATTGAGGGTCCATTCACGCTTTTGTAGAACGCAAACATGCGCATAATTGTGCAATGTTGCATGCGCTCAATAAGCATGCAAAAAAACGCGTGCAGTATCTTAATTGTGGGTGGCACCCCAGACGCAACAAGCAGGACATGCATTTTCTGGTGCGCAAAGACAGTGACAAATACGCAAAACAATGCGGTTAAAGAAACGGTGCATGAGCGTCTTTGACACATTTGTCAGCCCATTGAAAATAAAAGGCTGTTCTATTCACAAAGCACGCAAATGCGCAAAACTACGCTTAAACACGACGTGAATGGGGCTAAAAGTGTAAGCGCCCATTCACAGCTGAGCGATCTCAGGTGCGTTTCCAGATGCTCCATCTTATTCTGTTGTGTCCAGTCACATCTTAGTGATGTGCTGCCGCCGAACGCTCACAAAAAGTACAAGAGGTTTTCTTGGGGCATTATTGAGCGTTTTGGACCCAATAGACTTCAATGGGAGCACCTAAAAAACGCACATAATGTCTCCTCCTCCTGGTTACTACTGTAGCTTTCCATTGGCTAAAATAAAAACCCTCCATGATG